AATGCTTTGTTGCGACCTGCACTACTTTTAATTATTGAAAAAGGGGTAGGTTCCAACATCAAGGAGTTCAGCCTTTTTATCAATGGTTATAACAAGTGCAAGTTTAGTTTTCCTATTGAATTAACTATACATTGACTGAAGTATAATTTGATTATAATATCTTAATTATTGACAGGAAAAGAAGATAAGATAACTGAAATATCACATTCTGAGGGGTTGGATGGAGGTAAGATTGATTTGAAGAGATTCCCAAGTAAATTAATTACATCTTGACTGAAGTATAATTTGATTATGATATCTTAACTATTGGTAGGGAATGACATTGTCTCTTTCTGAGGGGTCGGATGTAGGTAAGATTGATTTGAAGAGATTCTCAACAAAATTAACTACATTTTGACTGAAGTATAATTTGATTATAATATCTTAATTATTGGCAGAGAGTGAAATGTCTGCTTCTCGGCGGTTTCATAAAAGTAAGATTGATTTGAAGAAATTCCCAACTAAATTAACTACATCTTGACTTGAGTATAATTTGATTATAATATCTTAATTATTGACAGGGAATGAAATTTCTCCCTCTGAGGGGTCAGATGGAGTTAAGATTAATTGGACGAGTTCTGAGGGATCGGATGGAGGTAAGATTGATTTGAAGAGATCTTGCAATTAAATTAACTGCATCTTAGTTGAAGTATAATTTGATTATAATATTTTAATTATTGGCAGGGAAAGAAGTTGAAATAACTTTGGCGAGGAAAGAAGTTGAAATAACTTTGGCGAGAAAAGAAGTTGAAATAACTGAAATGATTCATTTTAAGGGGTCCGGTAGAGGTAATATTAATTTTAGCAAAGTTTCCTTTAAATTAATTTACTAAAATACATATAATTTTTATTAGTATCTTAATTATCCGCGTTCTCTTGTTGTGGCCCATTGGTGGCCACTGCTGCCCAAAAAAGCAGTCGGTAGAATGCACTTTTGATCTCAGATTCAATACCTCTCAGAACAAATATTAACTTACTAATCTAATCATTTCCTCTGTCAAAAAAAAAAATTATTCACAGGGAAAGAAGATGAGATGACTAAATATTCTAGTTTTGTAGCACTGAATAAGAGAATTTGCGAAGGAAATAGGAAAGCTGTTGAGCAGTTTTTTGTTTCGGAGATGCATCCACTAGGTACAATAATATTATCAGACGACGGCTACACTGCTCTTCATGTTGCAATACAGGCCGGGCAAGATGAGATTGCCGAGGACCTGGTAAAGATGATGTCCGAAACAGATCTCGAAATCAAGACTAAAAGTTTACGTCACACGTGTCTTACCCTAGCTGCGTCAACTGGAAGAACACACGTGGCAAAATGCATTGTTGAAAAGAGTCACAAATTACTTACAGTTGGAAATAAAGGAGGCCATATCCCAGTAAGGGTCGCATGTACTACGGGCCAGAAGGAGATTACACAATACCTTTATTCCGTCACCCCACGCGAAGTATTTCGACCACAAAATGGCAATCATGGAATCAATCTCATGCGGTGGGGTATAGATAACAAGATGTTAGGTAATCGTCCGATCAAACGTTTTTTATTTTATATTGTGTCGTGTGTTAGGGAGACAAGATGCATGAGAGAGAGGAGTTAGTGGCCCGGCCCACTGCCTCCACTAGCCACACTAGACACTAGAGTCTAGGGGCATATATCCTAATCAGAAGATTTTTTAAATTATATATAACATTATTTAAAAATAAATCTCTAAATTTAAATTTAAATAAAAGTTTTACTTGTTTGGGAATATTTTACACAAATAGTTTTATAATATTATATTTAAAAATGTAAATTTATTATTTTTATTTTATTTTATTTTATATATTTTTACTAATATTAATTAATGTTGTATATATTTTCAGATAATTATATATAAAAAAAAAAGGGCTTTGCACAACCCAGCAGTTCTCAGCGAAGCCTTTTTTCTTAATTTTATGATTTTGCTTTCAACTGAGTCCTAAAATTTTTCACCTAACGAGGTTGATCATAATTCATTTGTTTAAATATAATTCGACTGGAATGGAGTGATTGATTGTAACTTTTCTCCTTGTTACTTATAAAACAGATATTTGTTTGGATCTACTTAAGCAGAACCCAAACTTGTCTGTTACTGCAGACAAAAAGTTGCGGGAATCTGAGAGGATGCGGTTATCTAAGAAATTGCGGGAATCTCCTATTCTTAAATTGTCACATCAACCTTCAATATTCTTTAGTGGATGTAAGCTTCCATTTTGGCAAATGTGGATTTATCACTGTGAGTACGAATTCCCTTCAAATTCATATTCTAATCTTTAAGTTTTATTCTTTTTTGGCTAAATATATTGGTATAATCTATCCATTTGCGGTATGTATATGTATTGAAGGGCTAAAAGTAAAGTTACCGACGACTTCGGCTGGTGAAGTACGAATTCTTGTTACCCACGATCAAGATCTTAAAAAAAGAAGCATCGATATACAAGGTATTTGTATGTATCTAAGTTAATTACACTAATTAGAGTACATAATATCATTTCAAGAAACAAAAAATCTTCAAAGTTAGATGTACTGATAATAGGTATTATACAGCAAGGTAAGTTTAAAGTTTGAAGCGTTGATAATCACCTTAGAAAATTAATTTTTTACAATTTTTTATTATTTTAATTAACAATTTATATATTTTTAGGATAGTAAAAAAAAAAAAAAAAAAAAAAAAACCCAAAACTAAAGCACCAATAAGTATTCTCAAATGAAATTTTTAGCCTTGCAATGCATACAAATTTATTGAAGACACCCTAATCATCTAAAACCAAAAAAAAAGAGAAAAAAAGATCGTTTCAAAATTTAATTTCATTATCAAATATCATTTCCTTATTTAGGAACACAAGAATGTTAAACTTAGCTAGGATAAATATGTGCATTTCGGATTAATTTATGTATTTAATTTTAAATTCATGTAATGTAATTAACATACATACATAGTAAGCGACATAATTATTGTTTTACGTCAGCATGTATATAACGGGTTTACCCTTGCAGTATTTGGTCGACTTCGTAGATTGGGGTCAATGCTCCTAAATTTTTTTGGTAACTCACCCTCAAACTATGAAACTTATTTTCTTACGTATCTTAGCATTTCTACTTCTATTATTCTATTCTTATGCCTTTTATAGTATATATTAATTGATTCTTCATTACTTAGGAATCAAACAAATTTATGATTTGAAGTTGACACATCACTACGCCCTTGAAATTCTTCGCTGTATGTGTGACCATGTTTCAACATTAAAGAGAGAGTCTCTTCGGAAAAGTGGAGTGATTGACGCAATGTTTGAAGCTACCAAACAGGGTATAGTTGAAATCGTCGTTGAGCTCTTGAAAGTCAGCCAACCGGTCAATCATCGTAATGAGCATAACAGACACGTTTTCATGATTGCAATCCAACATCGTCAAGAAAAAATTTTCAACCTTCTATATGGCATTCCTGATGCCTGGAAAAACCGAATTCTTAGCCGGCTGGATAAAGATAAGAACAGTATGTTACATGTGGCTGGGGAGAAAGATCCCGACTTTCAACATGCTCGAATTTCTAATCCAGCGTTGCAGATGCAAAGAGAATTACAATGGTTTAAGGTTGTCATCTCATTTGCTCACTCAAATATAACATTTTAAATTATTATTATTATTAATTATTTTAATTTGCTTTTATACATGAAATGTGATTTGATTGTCTCAAAAGGTTATATATATGTAACTTATTTATTTGTTTCAAAAATGAAACCTAATTTGTTGTTTTAAACATTAATGTATACTTTTGTTAACCGAATGCAGGAGGTGGAAAGCATTGTTCCAGAATGGTGCAAAGAAGTTAAAAATAAAAATGGTCATACCCCTTATGAAGTATTTTCAAAGAGCCACAAGGAATTAGTGGAAGAGGGGGAGAAATGGATGAAGGGTACAGCACAGTCTTTTATTATTGTCGGTGCTCTCATTGTTACCATTATGTTTGCGGCAGCGTTTACTGTCCCAGGCGGCAACAATCAAAACACCGGATTTCCTATTTTTTTCCACAAGAGATTATTTATGACATTTATAATGTCTGATGCAGTTTCCTTCTTTGCGGCATCAATTTCAGTCTTAATGTTTTTGGGAATCCTAACATCGCGCTTCGCCCAGGAAGATTTTCTTGTGTCCTTACCCATGAAGTTGATCATTGGCCTCTCCACTCTTTTCATTTCTATTGCAGCCATGATGGTTAGCTTTTGTGCTACTCTTTTGATTATGCTACAAGATCAATGGTGGGCAATCATTCACATAATTATGATGGCTAGCATTCCAGTTACACTTTTTATATGGCTGCAGTTTCCCCTCCTTAAAGAAATTTTTGTTTCGACATATGCTCCAGGAATTTTTAACAGAAAAAAGAAGCCTTGGCTATATAGTAGAGAACAAGTTGATTGATGTTTTTGGAACGCAAATGAGCAGTTTCCCCGCCAAGTTGAAATTCTTTAGCTTGTTCTTAGGTTATGTCTGTAGGAACTCCTAATTTTCCTGTTTTATTTGGTTGGATAATCAGATTTCCTGCTTTAATTATGAGACCGTGGTCTATGTACCTTCCCTGTGTAAAAACAACATTAGATATGTTTGGTTATGCTTTCAGATTTCTTGCTTTCTTCCTAGTATATAAATGATTAATGTCTTGAAAATGAAAAAATGAGAGGTCGTTTAAGACAATTATACACTACAAATACTAGCAAGACAAGCTAATCAAAATGGTATGATAATGGAAGGAAATAAACAGATCACATGTTACTGTTATATCTAAAATAATTCTAGAGAAATAGTCAGATATTGAACAACCATTTATAATGAGAATACCAACCAAAAATAGCCTCTACCAATTTTTTACTAATCTATATTTTCTTCCACAATTCATGAATTGATAACTTACAGTCGTCTTTGGTTTTGAAACACGGCTTGTGACTCATCGCATGCTCACGAACTCCTCTGCTGCTGAAGGATGAATACCAACCTGGAGGACACAACTTGCAACAGACCATAATATTGGATGATATAATTATATTCTTGAATGATATTATAGAATTCACATCAAAAAGTATCACCAATCTCCAAAGAAAATATTCAGCTTACCGCCCTCTCAAATTGGGCCTTGGTCACTCCACATTTACGTGCAATGGCAATTCCCAACAGAAAAAAAATATATAAATAACTACCAGGATTTGAAAACACAAGCATGCATACGCATACAAATGAAAATTGAAACAAACAGCACTACACAGAAAGTTGATATGGAAATTTAGCAACGCATACACAAGCCTTCACCGTTTGCAGGCTTGATAACCAAGGTGGAAGATAAGTCACAACTGACCATACAACAACATAACACAGCCTTATTTGTATCTTATATTGAGCAAGCAGAGTGACACAATCTATCATCTAGCCAGGAAAGTCTAAATAATTGGATCAAGAGATAAGTAGAAAGTGCTTCATTGACTAGCACCTTCTACTGGGTTATTTACACACGACTATCTGGCCATGGACAAGCTGGAACTCACATAAAACGAAAAAGATCTGCATGAAACAGCATTATGCGTTAAGTACCTGCATAATCTTAGTGCATTTGCCCCACACATGGATGCCCCAGGAACTTTATCCATCTCAGCATCAACAACTAGCTTCATTATGGTCTTTTCTCGCTGTCTGGAGAGAAACATGAGAGGCACAATTAAATTCTATGAAAACAAAATCAAATATACGAGTCAGACATCCATTGATCTTAAGAAATAATGAATATAATCCATTGATAACATATTTAGTGCAGAATTATGAGTTCTCCTATTTTATGTATGGCATTCTCCAGTTTAAACTTGAATAAGATTGTCCAACCTTAAAACCAATTAGCAATAGGTGGAGAGGCCCATATTATTTATTTATTTAAAAGTCCATAAGTTTCCACTCAATCACTTGATGTGTGATTTTCCTAATTAACAACACTATAACTCATTCATGATATTATAAATTTATCTAGACTGTGTTTGGGTTTAGGAAATCGAAAGGAAAATAAAGAACTAATGGAACATTTGGTTAGATTAAAATGTTGTGCATGCTATTGGTTTGCAGTCCAAAATTAAAACAAAACCCATTGTTTTACTATCTTCATTAATATATTCTTATGCACACAAAATCTTACTGGTGAAATTCAAACAAGAGAGAAAATTTAGTCATATCTAGTATTTTATTTCTCTCTCCTTTTGCTTTCACATTTCAACATCCAAACACAATGTCAGAAAAATAAAATCTCAAATCACCAATACATACCCAGTTACTGTGTTCTTCATTGGATTAACGGATGATGTGCAAACCAGAATATCACTATTTGCCTGCTCTTTTGCTTGTTCTTCACTAAGACCAACAGCGGAAAGTGGTGGTATGCTGTAAAACAACAAATCAGCCATCTGATGCTTATGAGAGTGGAAAAGACAACTTTCCAAACTGATAGTTGCATTCTAAGAAGAAAAAAAAAAACTACGGTAGATATCTACTCTCAACATAGAGAACCCAAACGACAGTTGCCTAAATCAGGTGAGGCAACTGTTCATTACAGTTGAACTTCATTTTAAATCAGAGGGGCATCATGTAATGATAGTCCTCAGAATCTCATGATAAAGATTGCTACCACGAAGCATTAGGAACAAGAATAATTGGTTGAGCTTAGGTTTTAAGGTGGAATTAGGGGATGGTAAAATGGTGAAATTTTGGTCGGATGAATGGGTAGGAGGGAGTGCTCTTTCTATCAAATATCCACGCTTGTTTATGTTATCCACAGGCGAAAATTCCAACGCGAAAGACATGGGAACATGGATCAATGGGAGCTGGCAATGGAAACTATCACGGAAACGTCAATTGCGTCCGTGGGAGGAAGAAATGGAAACAGAACTTCTTGAGACGATCAGGACAGCTCACCCAACACAAAACAAAGAAGACCAATGGTGCTGGCAATTGGAAACCTCAGGGAAATACACAACTAAGTCAGCATATGCTCAACTTTTAAAGGGCGACAATAGACCTGCTGGAGAGTTCAAAAGGATGTGGAAGGCCTCCATCCCACCAAAAGTAAGTGTTTTTTGCTGGCAATTACTTCATAAGAAACTCCCTACAAAGGATAATTTAGCAAATCGTGGAATCTTAAAGGACATTACAAAGCTAGGATGCTGTTGGTGTAATACATTAGTGGAAACACCCGACCACTTGTTTGTTAATTGCAACTTGACTTTTGATTTATGGATGAAATGCTACAAATGGTGGGGAAAGCAATATGTGTTGGGTAACTCATGTATGATGATTCTGGATCAACACAAATGGAATGGGGGCCCAAAAATACTTGATAGAGGGTGGAATATCATCTGGTTTGCAGTGGTCTGGACACTATGGCTGGGTAGGAATGATAGGATTTTTAATGCAAAGGAAGCAAATGTAGACTGCTTTTTTCAACTAGTTCAAACTCGATCTTTTTACTGGGCAAAAAATATTGCAAGAATGGATGGGTTCTCTTTACAAAATTGGTGCGAAAACCCAACCAAATGTTTAAAGAGCAATGTCAACATGAAAGAAAGAGTTTGAACTGGACCATTTTCCCAGGGACTTTAATTTGTTACATTTTTTCTGCAGAAGCCGGTGATTAAGAAAATCGTTTTCACCTGCTAATGTATGTAAGTTATGGGTTGGAATACCCCCAGTATTCCACATTTAATAAATTCTTTTGCTTTTCAAAAAAAAAAAAAAACTTGGACTTCTTGTGATCATTAGAACTGAGAAATATATATCTTGCTACTGTTTTGGGAAATCTTCATTAATCAAACAAGTCAAAATAAAATCAGAGGGGCATGCTCTGAAGGATACAAACATCAAGTAAACACAGAAAGGGGTATATTGCTGTAGTCTGGTTTGCTGGGTTGTCCACCAAAAACAGTTTTCTACAGGCAACGTATTTAAGATTGTTAAATGCATCAAAAATTAAAAACCATATCACATTTAATACAGAGAAATAAAGAAGCTACAGACAGAATACAAACTGCAAAGCAGTTTCCCTCCATTAATGCTACAGGTGTAAGATTCATTCGATTCATAACATCACCAACTGCCCATATACTGGGTATGTTGGTGTGTGAGTAGTCATCCACCTGCAAAATAAAGGGAATCTCAGTCATGCCGTCATCTTCTATGTTGTATAAAATCTTTCCATAAAGATTGCAATTTTAACTTGATCATGCCATTAAATTCAATCATTCATAAAACAAAAGGTAAAAACCATCACTAATAAAAAGACAAAGGCCTGCAAAAAATTTGGGCCTAAAGTTGTTTTATAGCCACGATTTCATTTTAAAAGAATAAGAAAGAATCATATTAGGTTTCCATGCTCCTATCCAGAAACAATCAAACTACTTATGAACATTTTGAAGGAAACAAAGAAGAATATCAGAACTCATTCTGTTTGTGAAATTTAATCAACGAAATCAAAAATTTTAAACAGCATCATTTACGGACAATAAAGTGAGTCAATGTCCACCCTTTTCTTAAAAGAAATTAATGGAAAGTTCAACAATAAGAAACATATAAACAGTCAGCAACCTTAATAGCTCCTGTTTGATCAAGTTCAATCGCCACAGTTCCCAAATTCAACCACTTTGTACTTGGAATCCTGCCTGTGAATAAGGTGAAACATTTATAACATGGACATGCCAAACATCTAGTACACAAAAATGCATGGCTTTTCAGACATCACTATCAAATGAAACAGCATAATAAAATAATCTCAAATGGATGAACTGAATGACATGGACAAGTAAAAAAAAAGAGAGAATTGCTTGGGAACATGAAAAGGGGATGGTAATTACCAGGGGCAAAGAGCACTACATCTGCCACCAACTCTTCACCGTGATCAGTAATAACTTTAATGCCACCCTCTGTTTTAATCAACTGAATTCATACATATTACGTCTGGTATAAGTTTGTGTAATAAATAAACAAAAGATGAGTAGAGTTGCAAACTTAGATATTGCAGGGAAGTAAAAAAGCAAGGCAAGTAAAAGGGTACCTTACTATTGCAAATATGTCAGAGGTGCCTTATTTACACTCATGCAGTCATCTTCTATGTTTTATAAAATCTTACCATAAAGATTGCAATTTTAACTTGATCATGCCATCAGATTCAACCTTTCATAAACAAAATTAGGTAAAAACCATCGCCATTAAAAAGAAAAAGGCCTGCAAAAAATTTGAGCCTAAGGTCGTTTTATAGCCACGATTTCCTTTTAAAAGAATGAGAGTCATATTAAGTTTCCATTCCCCTCTCTAGACAATCAAACTACTCACGAACATTTGGTCCAGGCTCACACTTGAAATACAAATACGAACTTTTGGTGCACAGCCCAGGCTCATCCGAAAGGATAAAGGGGAACAATTTCTGGAGCAGGGCCCTAGAATGGATTAAGATGGACTTCTGGAGTACGGCCCAGGCTCATCTTTGGGATCGATTAAGACGGATTTCTGGAGTAAAGCCCAGGCTCATCTGATGGGGTGAATGAGAAGGATTTCAGAAGAACTAATTCTTTGAGTCTTTTTTTTTTTTTTTCTTTTTTATGCAAATAAATTCTTTGAGTGTTATTTTATTTCAAGTATTATTCCTTCTTTACTTTACTGTTCTTTTAACTTTAAAAAATTCTAATGATATATTCTCCTTTAATTTGTAGCGATTGAATTAATTCTTGGAGTGTCTTGCTTTTTTTAAAGAAAAAGTAAATGGATCCTTTGAGTGGTTACCATCAAAATGAACATTCTTTAAGTGTTATATTATTGCAAGTACTGCTCCTTCTTTACTTTTTTTATTCTTTAACTTTAGGGTTTAGGGCTTCATCATTCCGCTCCTTTGATTTCTTTTTCTTTAATATAATCTAGCTTAACTCTTTCTTGTTGACTAAAATAGTTTGCATCGATCCGGGATCTCTGGAAGGATTTTATATTATTATACAAATAATTCTTTTGGAAAAGCTTCTTCTGGTGTAAAATCAACTTTAATTTTATAATGTTGGATAGAAGCAAGCAGCGGAAGAAGTTGAGATGACTGAAGGGGTCAAGCAGAGCTAAGATTGAATATTCCCAAATTAATTAAACTGATGCTTTTAGGTATAGACTAAAGTATAATTTGAATAATATCTTAATTAGCTTATTGTCATGCATGCATTGCAGCTGAAGAAGATGAGATGAGACTGAAAATTCTCATTTTGTTGAATTTGCAAAGGAGATTGGGATGTTGTAAAGGAGTTTTGTGGGTTGACAGAGTACCAGTACCCTGTCAACCAGCAAATGGCAAATCTAGGATTCCTCCAACTCGACCGCTAGGTGTAGCTAATAAAATGTTTGGTAAGAAATAATCAAAATTTTATTTTATTGTGTTACGTACAGATCCAAGACTCCAAGTCCAAGCTGAAAGGAGTCAGCGGTTCTCCTTTCTCCACCACCCACAAGGCACTACTCTACTAGAGACCTTAGAAAAATTTTTAAATTCAAAAAGAGGTTTTTTTTTAAAATTTTTTTTATCAACTTAAAAAAAAATTAATCCTGAGATTTAAATTAAATAAAAGTTTTACGTTGTCCTGCCTTTACCCGTATAGTTTCTTTTATTTATTTATTTATTTTGAATAGCAAAAGAATTAAATTAAATGAGTACAAGGAGTACTCAACCCATATACATCTATAAAATCATCAAAATGTTAGGCCTGGGGTCTAAAAGCAGAAGAACAAAAGCCACCCCAGTGAATGAATTGGGAACTATCTTCCCACCTGTCCTCTATTTCTTGGTAATCAAACATCTCACTGGATCAGAAATCCAATCTATGAAAGAAATGTGTTCTAGATTCAATAGAGTTCTAACCCAGTGAAATGAGCAAGTTTGTACGCGTTCGAACAACTTATCCTCATTGAGCTCCTTTTGTTGAAAAGCGGTTTCATTTCTACTTATCCACGTTGACCATACTATGGCATACCACATATAGTTTCTTTTATGATTTTGCTTCCTATTAAATACCAGTGTGAGAATTTTTTGATCCAATACTTTATTAATTCAACCTCCATGCCATGCAGTCCCTAATTAGGACAGTAAGCAACAATAGGTCGATGGAATGATAGATCATAATTGGTTTGTTGATTTTAACTTTTCTCCTTGATATTATTTTATGTATCCTTTAAATTAATGATGTATATTCACTAACATTCTATTAATTTAGGTAGTGGCGGTACCAGGATTTTATTTAGGGTATGTCCTTCTATTATATTATAGGTATATTTACTAATGAAAAAATAATAATATTAATTTTAAATAAAAAGATAAATTAATATTAATTAGAGTTACTATAAAATTAACATTTTGATTAAATAAAGTGCCAACCATACAACTCCTAAACATGCAGATAACCATCATTTTGATCTGTGCAAGAGATGTTCACACTTAAATTTACCATGACTGGCCTACAATTTAAAGAAAAATTTCATTTTAAAATTAATAAAAATTAATCAGATGAGTTTGTAACTTGAAATTTTCTATTTTAATAAAAAAAATTGAAACAAATAAAAAAATTAATTAAAATCATTGATTAACCTTCAAATGGAATAAAACTTAGGGGGTGTTTGGATTGGATTTTGGTTAATTGCTATCAATTTTTAATTCTAATCAAATGGATTAAATACTTTTAATTTTAAACAACAATAATTATTAGTTGTCAAATATTAATTATCAGTTATTAACTATATTTGAAACTTAATCCAAATACCCACTAAAGAACTTCTCTCCATGTGTACATATTTTGAAAATGGATAAACTCGCAAAGGCAATACCATTTTTTTTCTTGTAATGGATTTATAATTAATTTATTTGTTAATTATATTTTTTTCAAAAAAACTATTCTTCCACTTACTATTAATTAAATTTAGATTCAAAAAAAATAGTAAGCATAATATTTATCTAAAATTTAAAACTAAAAGATCCATTATTTAATAACAAAATAAAATACAAGTAACTATATAAAAAATTAGAAGGAGACAAAGAGAGTTTAATGATGAACTTAAAAAAGTGACATGGGCCAATATAAAGTTTGACTGAATTAATATTAAGAAGGGAGAAGAGATACACCCATTCGCCACCCATATTGCTCATTTCCACAGTCATCAATATCCTGTCTAATCTGCTCATAGCTATATCATTTGGTCTATACCATGTAAACTTTCGATTTGCCAACTTAATATCAACTAGCCCTGCTGTCTTTATGAAAACACCAAAGTCCTTCATATCTGCACTCTCTCATGTCCTTCCCTTTCTTTCTTCAATACACCTAACAACATTGAAATCCCTTGTAAGCAGCCATCGACCACCCTCATCTACAATCCTCTATCTTAACTCATCCCATAATTTAGCTTTTTTCTTCCTATCATTAAGTGTATATATATTCACAAAAAAAACACACCTCCTTTTTTCCACCCCAAACCCCTTTATTCCCAAGTATCTATCTTCTGTAAATTCCCCCAACTTAACAAATGTTGACTTATTCCACACACAGAGCAAACCTCCCGAAGCTCAAACTGAGTTTTTCATATTCCAAGCAAAATCATCAGAATACCACAACATTTTACACAAACCCTCTTCAGTTTATATTTGGAGACTACTAGGGTTTGTATAAAGATAGCAATTTTTCATATTCTTTTTTTGTTAATCATTCATGGAGACTACTAGGCTTTGAGAGAGGGATGCAGCAGCTAGGGCAGACAGCAGCTTTCAACGGTGGCAAGTTTCCAGGCGACAGATTCTAGGGTTCAGTAATTACTGATTAGGGCAGGTTTAGACATTTTTCTTTTACAATTTCCCAGAGAAGTTGACAACAAAGAGTTTTTGGTTTTGTTTTCAACAGTATGTTAAGGTAGTGGATGTTTTTGTGCCGAACAAGAGGGACAAGTGAGGGAACAGATTAAGGTTTGTCCATATGGCATGAGTGTAAAATGCGTCACAAATGGTGAAAAAGCTAAATGAGATTTGGTTTGGGTTGTACAAGTTGAGGGTGAAGATGGCTGATAGACCACAAAAGCAATTTTCAAGGCAGCCGAAGGTACCAGATGTAGAAAATGTGATGAGGAAAAAGAGCAGTATGACCAGATTGGTGCAACTTGGGCAATCTTATGCAAAGGCTATTGTGGGGAAGAGTAAGTGGGTTGATAAGAAATAGCTACAAGGTAGGATGTCAAATGAGATGGAATCAATTAAGCATAATGAGGATCGAGACACAGTGCCGAGGCTACAGTGTGATGAGAATAAGGAGGATGGATCAAGTGAAAAGAAAAATGTACAAGAAAAGATGGTGGGTTGTATACAAGAACCAGATGAAGAGATTATCATTGATTTTGTTCCTACGGAGGAAGAGACTCAGTGGCTGGAAGGGGGCATGGTTGCTGTTTTGAAATCTTTAATGTCATTGACAAGTATGCAAGAGAAAAAGGGATGTGGATGGAGGGTTGGTTATGTTATCTCCATTAGGGGGAAGATTAGTGCTGCTTCCTAAAAAGGTGAAGGGCTACCTTAGTGAGTATATGGAGCAGAATAGAGAATTATTCGATACATGGTTTGAATCTATACTACCATGGGCAATAGCACCATCACAAAGAAGTTGATTGGTTTGGTTGCGGATATCTGGAATCTTGTTGAATGCATGGAGTGATAGATGTTTTACAATGATAGGAGGAAAAGTGGGTGAAGTGGTGATGGTGCATGATGATACCAAACCAAAGCTATTTTGTGTGAAGAAAGGGCACTGGTTCTTTGTCTTGATACACATATACTATTAAAAATGTTGAAATTGAAGGTTGATGGGTAGCTGCATGAGATACAAGTACTGGAGGAGGAATGGAGAACAGACCTCGATTGGTGGCTATCGGAGGGTGACTAACAAAGGACGACAAAAGTATCATCAGAATATTCCTCCACGCATATTGATAATAACGATCAAGAATTTATTAATAACAAGATTCTCGACGAAGATGAAGATAACATTAAATTGGAGTTGTTACAAGAGGAATGAATTTTGAATTCAAAAAGTAAGCCGATTGATGGTGAGTCGCTGGAGAACTCTAGAAGAGATGGTGACTTCGGTCATTATAAGGAAAATAGGATGGTGAATGATAATGGGCTGTTAAAGGATAATGGGTTGTTGAATGATAATGGGCTTGTGGATGTTAATAGGTCAAGTGTAAATGTTATAGAAATCTCATTTAGCAAAAAGCCCAAGGACTCAAGTCTAAAAGATGTATCACGTGATGAGGAAAGAAAGGCTGCAGACTTGTCAAGTAAAAGGCATAGAAAAGTGGCAGAGTGCTATCGAGAAGAAGTAGTGGAAGTCTGGAAAAAGCAAGCAGATTGGGTGACTAGACGAACAGAGCAGTGAAGATTGAGGTAGGAGAAAGCAAAGCAGATGCCAATGGTTTTAGGCAATCTGGATTTGTAGGCAAAAGGAAGCGAATCTCTTTTCGATGGTTGTATTGCTTATCGAAATCTAGTTATTCAATGGGAGATAAACATGCAAGAGGTAAAGAAAATTATTAGTATCGAGGGAAGGCCTGGAATGCAGTTTGAGGGTACTGAAAAAGAGGTGGAGTCTAAGCTCTTTAAGCTGGAAGAGAGAGATCATATCAAGAGGCAAAATTGGTAAGGTATTGGGTAGTTATGGGGGTAGTGTGGGTGAGGGTCTACGTTTTGAGTGAAAGTTATATCTTTTAATGTTAGGGGTTTAGGGAGTATGGAAGAGGAGGGAGTTGGGAAGTTTAGTATGGGTAGAAAAACCAGATTTTCTATTTCTACAGGAGACCAAATTGGAAGGGGTAGAAGAGGGTTTGTGTAAATTGTTGTGGTATTCTGATGATTTTGCTTGGAATATGAAAAGCTCGGTTGGAGCTTCAAGAGGTTTGCTCTGTGTGTAAAATAAGTCAACATTTGTTAAGTTGGGGGAATATACAGGAGATGGATACTTGGGAATAAAAGGGGTTTGGGGTGTAAAAAAGGAGGTGTATTTTTTTGTGAATATCTATGCACCAAATGATAGGAAGAAACAAGCTTAATTATGGGATGAGTCAAGACAAAGGATTGTAGATGAGGGTGGTCGATGGCTTCTTGCAAGGGATTTCAATGTTGTTAGTTGTATTGAAGAAAGAAGGGGAAGGACTAGGGAGAGGGCAGATATGAAGGACTTTGATGTTTTCATAGAGACAGCAGGGCTAGTTGCTATTAAGTTGGCAAATCGAAAGTTTACATGGTATAGACCAAATGGCACGGCTATGAGCAGATTAGACAGGATATTGATAACTGTGGAAATGAGCAATATGGGTGGCGAATGGGTGCAACAGGGATTGAAAAGAACTATATCAGATCACTGTGCGATTGTTTTGAAAACAAGGGCAACATATTGGGGACCCAAGCCGTTTCGAGTTTTAGATGCATGGCAGCATCATCCGGAATTTAGAAAAGTTGTTGAAGACAAATGGAATGAAATTGTTATGGATGGTTTTGCAGGTTACAAATGTCTACAGAAATTAAAACTGTTGAAACAATTTTTGAAGGGTTGGAATAAGGAAGTTTTTGGGGATATAAAAGCTCAGTTTCAACATGCAGTTAACACGGTAACACAACTTGATATGAAGAATGAAAAGGTTGCACTAGAAGAGGAAGAATTGGAGGAAAGACAACAAGGTTTCCATGCACTATGGGATATTATGAGGAAGAGGGAAGCTATTTGGAAACAAAAATCAAGAAGTAATTGGGCAAAATGGGGGGATGCAAATACGAGATTCTTCCACAAAATTGCAAATGGGAGAAAGGCTCACAATAATATTGCTGGCCCTTTGTGTGATGGCAGGTGGATTAAAGAGCCAGAGGTGGTAAAGAAAGAGGTGGTTAAGTATTTTCGAAGGTTATTTGCCGGTGACACATAGAATCGCCCAAAGCCTGCTGGAATTGGTTTTAAATGGATTTTTGAATAGATGACGACATGGTTAGAAAGACCATTCTCCATGGAAGAGATTGAGGAAGGTTTAAAGAGCTATGAGGGAACAAAAGCACTGGGGTCGAATGGATACAATTTTAGTTTTATCAAGTACACCTGGAGTTGTATGAAGAAGGATTTTGTGAGATTTTTTGAGGAGTTTCACCAGAATGGCAGGTTAGTGAAAAGGTTAAATTCTTCTTTCTTAACATTGATTCCTAAGAAGATGAACCCTATGGAGCTAAAAGATTTTAAACTTAATAGTTTGATTGGCTATGTATATAAATTACTAGCAAAGGTGCTGGCTAATAGGCTGCAAGTTGTAATGTCGGGGATTATTGGTGATACTCAATCTGCTTTTTTGGGAGGCCATCAACTTGTTGATAGTGTTTTAGTCTTAAATGAGGTGGTAGAGGAGGTTAAGCAACAAAAGCAGCAAGCTTTTATTTTCAAAGCTAATTTCGAAAAGGCATACGATTATGTAGATTGGTCATTTTGGATTGGATGATAAGCAGGTTTGGTTTTGCCGTGAAATGGTGAGGGTAGATTAGAGAATGTCTTTCAATTGCTAAAGTTTCAGTTTTAGTTATGGAAGCCCTACGGAGGAGTTTGTGATAGGAAAATGATTAAGACAAGGGGATCCTTTATCTCCGTTTCTTTTTCTCATGGTTGTAGAGGGTTTACATGGATTAGTCAAAAAAGTAGAAATGGAGGGACTGTTACAAGGCATCACAATGGGTACCAAGGGTTTGGCTATTTCTTTGGTTCAATTCACAGATGATACAGTGATTTTGGGGAAAGTTGATAGTGAGAATATTTTTACGGTCAAAACCATTTTGAGATGGTTTGAGTTGATGTCTGGGTTGCAGATTAATTTTGGAAAAAGCAGTGTCTTTGGTTTCAATGTGTCTTAAAGGTGGATTAAAAGGGCAACAAGTGTTCTTCATTGTGGTGTTGGGGAAATTCCTTTCATGTATCTGGGAATGCCTATTGGTGGGAAGAATGGGAGCAATAAGATGTGGGATCTAGTTCTGCATAAATTCCAAGCCAAGTTAGCCATCTGGAAGTTTGCTGTGTTGTCTATTGGTGGTCGCATCACTTTACTTAATTCGATACTCTCTACTACTCCCAATTTTTACATGTCTTTATTTTTAATGCCAAATTGAGTAGTAGCCAAGTTGAGTAGCATTCAAAAGACTTTTTTGTGGGGAGGGGTGGAATTAAAGAGGAAGATTCCATGGGTTAAGTGGAATTATGTGTGTACTAGTAAGAAGAAATGAGGTCTAGGAGTGCCTGATTTGCGTCGGAAAAATTGGGCATTGTTAGGGAAGTGGTGGTTTAGATTAGAGTATGGAATGGAGGGATTGTGGAAATAGGTGGTGTGGGAGAAGTATTATGGTGAAAGGGAGGAAGTGGATATTACGGCAGTAGATACAGTCAGGGTGTCTAGGATTTGAAGGGATGTTATTAGTATGGGGTTGCAATCTGTTAGTTTAAAGAATATGTTGGTGAAGGGTTTTAGATGGGTGGTGGGGGATGGAAGTCCGGTTGGTTTTTGGAAAGCGGTTTGGGTGGGGGAGAAGATTTTGAGGGATTTGTGTCCTAGGTTGTTTCAATTGGCAGTACACAAGTATGGTTTAGTTAGTGAGATGGGGGTTTGGGAGGAAGGTAGTTGGAAATGGAATATAGCTTGGAGGAGAGGGAGACAGGGAAGAGAAAGGGATTAAGAGTTGCTGTTGTGGGAGAATTTGAATAAAGTTCAACTTAAGGTAAGTGTTAAGGACTGTTAGCAGTGGGTGCATGTTCCAGATGGGAAGTTTATGGTGAAAAATGCTTATGAGTTTTTGGATTTACGAATTACATTCTTAATGATCAGCTATGTAAGCTAATTTGGTGCCAGCTAGTACCTTCTAAAGTTAGTTTTTTTGGGTGGAGATTATGTCTTGAGCGTCTTCTTGCAAAGTGGAGCTTACAAAAAGAGGGGTGGTTTTGGATGGGGGTTTAAGGTGTGGTTTGTGTAATGAGGAGGTGGAAGAGTGTAATCATGCATTTTGTACATGTAAGGAAGCTTAGTTAATCTAGGTTGAGGTGTTGTCTTGGTGGGGTATAAAGGCTGTATTGCTAAATATAGTGGGGGGATTAGTGGAATTTTTTGTATATGGGCTGGGTAAGGTGATAGGAAAGGAATTGGGAGCTTGCATTTTTCTTGTTACTTCATGGTATATATGGTCTTGGCGGAATTGTAGAGTTTTTAAGGGAGATGGGGTACCAAGGGATGATTTATTTGGAAATAATTTAGGCCAAGACTTTTTTCTGGATAAAGAATAAAGTGCAAGGATGTGTTTTCTCGCTTTGTGATTGGAAGTTTAATCCGCTTGAGACTGCTATAGCTATAAGAAACAACAAAAGGATGCTGTGTGAGTTCCATGTAAATCAAAAGGGGAGGGTATAATGGGTTTGCTGGGTGGGTTGTTGTCGAGCACATGTGTGTGGTCATGGTAATGGATGCTAAACAAGTACTTTCTAAGTATCTAGTTTTGCTGGTTGTAGTCTAATTTTGTATATGAGTTGGAGTACCCCTTGTACTCTGTATTAATATCATTTATTTCTTTTGCTAATAAAAAAATATTCATTATTTCTTAAAAGGATCAGCGGATGTCCAACTCGTATATTTGATTTTTTTTCTCCTCGAATTTAATTGTGCCTCCCATGTTTCTCTCCAGACGGCAATAAAAGACTATAATGAATTAATGATGATTCTCGTTGTTGATGCTAAGACGGATTTAGGGCATCCAAGTGTGGGCTGGATGCACCTAAGATTATGTATCATGCTACCTCAAAAATCATTTTTCACTGATCAAAGCATCCCTTTCCTTATATAATTGGTACACTAATTTCTTTTTCCTCTAGGGATTTTTCCTTCAATAAAAAGAAAAAAATCACTAATTCCCCCATCAATTCGGCATTCACCCATTAGACTTTTTCTTTTTTCGGTCCATCTAGACTCACCTTAGCCCCTATTTTATAATAATAGCTTCTATTTATGGGCTTAGCCCAATAAAATAAACTTTTTGGGCCATAACAGAACTTTCCCTGCTTAAGGTTATCCTTACCCGTTCGTTTCTATGGATTTTTTTTTTCCTGATATGTGGGTTAGATGAACATACAATCTGAGCCACACATTTTCTGATCAAATCCTAGATGGCACAACAGACGGCGTTGAAAGCTACTGATATCAGATTCTGCAGTTTATCAATCAACTGGAGATACACTCCACAATCCTTCTTGATAAGCCCCGATAAACAGATATTCATGTTTTACTTTACACTCCGTCCTCCACTTACACGGTTACACTGCCAATTTCAGCCCAAAATGGCCTCCATTTGCGCCTTTTCCGCCATTACTGCCATCGCTATCTCTTTCCAAAAGATTGAATCGATTTCAAGAACAACTAAGACTCCTTTCCCTAGTGGAAAGAAACTCAGAGTGAGAAAGTACACAGCGTCGACTACCGGAAGATTGACTCCTGTCTGTGCCACCGCCGACCCAAATACTCCCCTCTGGTTCCCCTACAGCACCCCTCCTCCATGGCTCGATGGCAGGTTTAGTAGCAAAATAATGTAATGTTGAACATTAATTTTGTTGTGAAAAATAGCGCAACAAAATAAACTAATTGCTGTGAACAAAATAAGTGAACAATAACAAAAAATGTGAACACAAGTGGGTTAGTCAACCAATATTAATTATTAATAAAAAAAAGTGAAGTAACCATTTAAGTAAAATAAATTTAACGGTTTAACCAGTCATTTAAAAAAAATAAAATAAAATAGGTGGTTTAAACAACCACTTAGGAGAAAAAATAAATAATAAAATGACACCAATTTTTACGTGAAAAAATTTTCAAAAAATTATTAGGGAAAAATCCACGAAACAAATTTTAAAGGGTATTTTATTGTATGATAAAATTATACAAAGTATACGCTTAAGTATTTTTTTCTCTTGGTGCTTTCACTCCTCCAGGATATGATCACAATAATGATAAACTCACAATTTTATCACTCAAAATACTCTCTCTATAAAGCACTCTTATACCTAAATTTTTAATGCCTAGCTCTCACCCCCTTTTTCTTCTTTCGTCCGGAGCTCTCTCTTTGGAACTCACTCACTCACTTTGGTATTACTCTTGCTTCTTGCTTGCTTGCCCTCTTTGCATGCATGGGTATTTATAGGGAAAGAATCCAACCAGCTATGCATGATTTTCTTCCCTCATTAAATGAGATGCAAACTTTCAACAAGAGGTGCTATAGGTGCAGCATTTTACCATAGGGTATGAATTTTACCATATGGAAAAGTACATGTGTTCACGTGGGGCTGGAAATTTCCGCCAACAAATTTCCCGTTTCTAAAGTATTAACTTCTTGAATCCCTGATTTGCTGCCTCCCCGGAGACTTTGGTTTTGATCCTCTTGGCGTGGGTACGTTTCATCCGAAGTTCTGTTTGGTTCCTGGGAAAGTAAATTACTAAAATCTTATTAATTTGTAAATTTTGAAATGGGATTTTCTTGAACAGGGTGTGATCCTGAGACTCTAAGATGCAACGTGCAAGCAGAGCTGGTGCATCGCAGGTGGGCTCAGATGGGCAATGTTGGGTGTCGCCGGGGTTTTCATCTCGGAATTCCTGATTAAAATCGAGATTCTGAAAACCCCCTACCTGGTACACCACTGGGGAGCAGGAATACTTCATCGACACCACCACTCTGTTTATAGTTCATCGACGGTGGGCTGATATCATCAAGCCTGGATGCGTAAATACAGACCCAATTTTCTCCAACAACAAGCTCACGAGAATTGATCTCAGCTACCTGGGTGGGCTGTGGTTTGACCCTTCCGGGGTTGGGAAGCGGGTTCCCCGATAAGGTGGAGGAGTTGAGGACAAAGGAAATAAAGAACGGGAGGCTGGCTATGTTAGCCGTAATGGGTGCGTGGTTCCGATACATACATACCTGTACCGGACCCATTGACAACCTCTTCGCCCACCTCGCCGATCCCAGCCACGATACATTTTTGCTGTACCTGTAAGTACGTACCAACCCACCCATATCCGGATTCTTAATGTTTGCATTGCAAAATCATGCTCTTAACAATTGTGATGATTTCTTACGGGCATTCTCACCAAAGTGAGGAAGAGACAATGGGGATTAAGGTGACGTTTTGGAGGGAACATTGGGGGAGTTGGTGATCCGAGGAAGGAACTCCAAAGATGTTTGTAATGTTTAGAACCTCGTGTTTGTGTGCAAATATCTTTTGTCTCATTTAGATGCCATGGCTATAAGTTTAGGTCTTAACAAAATGTTTTTATTTATGCTCCAGCACTGAATTGTCTGAGATGGAAATCTTAAAAAAGATATCCGGGAACTCAAGTGTTAGAATGGTACAACTTATATTCCCCTAACTGTACTTAACGCATATGCTGGTTCATGCAAGATCTTTTTCTTTTTATGTGAGTTCCAGCTTGTCCATGACCAGACAATCTTGTGCAGATATACCAGTACAAAGTCAATAAAGCACTTTCTACTTGTCTTTTTATGCAGTTATTTAGACTTTGCTGGCCAGATGATAGATTGTCACTCTGCTTGCTCAATATAGGATACAAATAAGGCTGTGCTATGTTATTGTATGGTCGGATGTGACTTATCTTCCACCTTGGTTATCAAGCCTGCAAACAGTGAAGGCTTGTGTATTGCTGTTTGTTTCAATTTTCATTTGTATGAGTATGCATGCTTGTGTTTTCAAATCCTGGTAGTTTTATATAAATATAATTATATATATATATATATTATTTTCTGTCGGAAATTGCCATTGCACTTAAATGTGGACCTACCAAGGCCCAATTTGACAGCACCGTAAGCTGAATATCTTTTTGGAGATAGCTGACACTTTTGATGTGAATTCTATAGCATTCAACAATATAATCTATTGTTATGGTCTGTTGCAACCTTTATCTCTGAGCTTGTCTTTTCAACAATCTTCTTCGGGTTGAAATTCATCCTTCAGCAGCAGAGAGGAGTTCGTAAGCATGTGATCAGTCACAAGGCGTGTTTTAAAACCAAAGACGAATCTGTAAGTTATAAATTCATGAATTGTGGAAGAAAATATAGATTAGTAAAAAATTGGTAGAGTCTATTTTCGGTTGCTATTCTCATCATAAATGGTTGTTCAATTACTGACTGTTTTTCTAGAATTATTTTAGATATAACAATAACCTGTAATCTGCTTCTGTCCTCTCATTATCACATCATTTCGATTAGCTTGTCTCTCTAGTATTTGCAATGCATAACTATCTTAAATAACCTCTCATTTTTTTCAATTTCAGGACATCAATCATTTATTTACAAGTAAGAAAGCAAGAAATCTGAAAATATAACCAAACATGTATGATTAATATTGTTTTTACACAAAGGGAAGGTACATAGATCGACCACACTCTCATAATCAAAAGCATGAAATCTGATAATCCAACCAAATAAAACAGAGAAATTGGGAGTTCCAACAAACATAACCAAAGAACAAGCTGAAGAATTTCAACTTGGAGGGAAAACTGCTCACTTACGTTCCAAAAACATCAATCAACCTGCTCTCCACTATAGCCAAGGCTTCATTTTTCTGTTAAAAATTCGTGGAGCATATGTCGAGACAAAAATTTCAACGAGGAGGGGAAACTGCAACCATACAAAAAGTGTAACTGGAATGCTAGCCATCATAATTATGGGAATGATTGCCCACCATTGATCTTGAAGTGTAATCAAAAGAGCAGCTGAAAAGCTAACCATCATTGCTGCAATAGAAATAAAAAGAGTGGAGAGGCCAATGATCAACTTCCTGGGTAAGGACTCAAGAAAATCTTCTTGGGCGGAGCGCGATGTGAGGATTCCCAAAAACATTAGAACTGAAGTTGATGCAGCGAAGAAGGAAACTGCATCAGATATTATAAATATCATAAACGATCTTTTT